GGGGGGGGGGGGGTTGTCCAGGCTGGTGAAACTGGTGGCCTTAGCAAGCAGGGCGTACCAAGGGGTCTGGGGGCCTGAGAGTCCCATCTGCCCACCTGCAGCTCTTGGCCTGCACTGGTTTCCCCGCCTTGCGTGAACAGGCCTTCTCTTCTTCCTCCTCTTGTCACCACCAGCATTGCCACGACCACCATCACCAACAGTGCTACTAGAGCAAAGGCTCTGAGCCCTCCCAGGCTTCACCGCTCTGGTCCACTCCCCGTCCCCATTTTATAGATGGGGAAATGGTGGCTCAGAGATCTGAGGGATGGGCCCAAGATCACCCAGTGAGGTCTGTTGAGCCGGGAGCCTTGGCTCTTGCTCCTATATTCATATTTCCCTCATCCCTAAGCTGGGGCCCTCTCGTCCAGCTACGTGAATGGGCTTGTCTGCCTCCCACTCTGGTCCCCCAAGATAGTGAGGACTCCCCGGCTGCAGCCCACCTCCCCACATGGCTCTGGGACCAGCCAGCACGTAGCACTCGGGCTGGGCCAAGGCCTCCTACCTTGAGAAACAGAGCTCCCTTAGAGGCCAGGGCATCGATGCTCCCCCCGTCGGGGTAACAGTGATAGGCCACGTCCATGATAGGGTAGCGGCTGGCAAAGAGGAGGCCACTGTTGAGGGCCTTGAAGCTGCAGCAGCCGCGGCAGCCGTAGACCCCGACGTCATACAGGATGTACTCGAAGTAGCCATGCAGCTGGTCTTTCAACTTGGCAGCTGCCCGCTTGTCAAAAACCTCCTGCAGGCACAGGAAGTCCAGGTTGGCCGGGAAGAAGGCCGAGACCTCGTGGTCAAAGGCCTCGTCCGGGTGCCGCCTCTTGCGCGCGGCTGCCTTCTTCACCACCGAGGCCTTGTACAGGAGCTTGCTGTTGGCGCCCGGCTCCCCGCCGCCGCCACTGCTGTCCGGCCCGGCTCGTGCCTTCACCAGGGACTCCCTGGAGGCCGAGGGGCTGCCCAGGCTCCCCGAATCCCCATCCCGCTGATTGTGGTTGGGCATCTGGCCCCTCGGGCCCTCGCCGGCCCCGTTCCTGGCCTGGCTCCCGGTGGCAGGGTCTTCGGCTTCGGGTGGTCGGCCCCCCTCCTCTCCACCGATGCGCACAATGCAGGCATCCTCAAGGCCGCAATCAGCTGGATTCCGGGAAGCCGGGCTGTTGACAGCCTCCTCACTGGAGTGACGCCCACCATCGCCCTTGTATTCCACGGAGGCTGTCCTCTTAATGCTCCCAGGGATGGCCCGGGCCACGCCATCGCCACCCTGCGGTGACACCAGGCTGCTGAAGCTGGCCGCACTGATGGAGGTGTTGGTGGGTGAATCGATGTAGATTTTGATTTGGGGCCGGGCGGCCCCATTGCGGATTCTCTGCCCGATCTCTTTGGCCCGTGCTTGGGTGTTAGAAAGGTTGTTGAGCCTCGCCAGCGAGTCAGGGAGGAGGCAGAGGTTGGCAGTGGTGAAGCAGAAGCTCCTGCCAGCCCCTGGACCCTTCCATTCACTGAGCAGGGCTGCCCCTCCAGCTGGGCCCTTGTCTTCCAGCCGTGAATAGATGTAGGGCCGGCGGGCAGACTGCAGCGGGGACCAGAGGAGGAAGCCGAGAAACGCGAAGGGCAGTGCGGCCACCAGGAGGGCCAGGTAGACGGGTGTGAAGAGGATGGTGCTGAGCAGCTGGAGGCAGCACGGGCAGTCTGGCTGGCGCTTCTCGTAGGTGGTAGGTATGAAGAAGGCCGCGAGCCGGTTCAGCAGCCAGTAACATGGGAAGATGAGGGCCCAGGACACACAGTGCAGGGCGGACAGACAGCTATTAGGAAAGGGGGTCGTGTACAAAACCATCGCAGCTCACTGGGCGCCGCAACCGGCCCTACTACATGGTGTCCGTGGCAGCTGCGGGCACTTTCCTGGGCAGGAGTGGGCAAGTGGGGGGTGCAGCTGGAGGAGGGGTCACCTCCTGGTGAGATGCAATTCTGGCTGGACAGTGGTGAGTGTCGGCCAAATGGTCATGGTTCACCTCAGTGGGCCATGCTGGGACACCCAGGCCTGCTGGAGAGCCTGCAGAGACAGAAAGTGAGGAGCTTTTATTGATCTTTAGGGGAACAGGCTGGGTGCTGGGGCCATTGTCCCAGCTCACCCCATTCCTGCCTCCTCTGTCATGAGCAGGACTGTTCTGAGGACCAGGCCGGAGCCATGGTGGTCTCACACAGGGCATCTGGTGGCCAAGAGACAGTCCGGCATGCCCTATATGCCTGTGTGTGTGTGGTTCTGTTGGCGTAAATAGCTTAGTGACATGACTATCCCTAACTGATCATCTTGACCTTGTAAACTAAATGCTTGAAAAATGGCCCAGGTTTTTGGAGGGTCACAGCTTTGTGGGCCCAAAAAGGGGCAGGCTGGGGATCCTAGAGGGTGCCTGGGCTGACTTTGGCCGGGAGCAGCTAAAGGCCCCTCAGGACCCAGGAGTATGTTTAGAATGAGCAGACAGATGATCCTGGTCGGAGAAGCCATAAACACGTCTACCTGTCACTGACAAAGCAGGAACAAACAGCAGAGAAAAAAGGCCAGAGAGTCCCAGAGCAGAGGGCGGCCCCACCACACATACCAGGCCCCAGATGTGGCCCTGCTTGCAGCATTAGACCAAGCCCTGTGTGCCCACTCCTACTGACCCCCAGCCATCAAGGACTCAGGCACAACCTGTGCCTTACCAACTTCCAGAGTGATCAGAGTCACCCAGTTATAGTAACCTAACAGTCCCTGTGATTTATGGAGAAGCTCCCTGGCCCTGCGTGAGTCAGGCCAGGCTCTAATGGCTCTCCCACATGTCCTGCAAGATGCAGCCCTAGCGAAGGCCCACAGCTATCCAAATAAGCCCACCCCAGGTCTCCGTTCCAGGCTGTGTAGGAGCAACAGTGTGTCTCAGAGCAGGCCCCAGGGCCCCAGCTGGGAGTGGCCACCAGGTCCATTCATTGTGCTGAATGTAAAATCAATAGACAAGAGTCTGGAGTGTTTACCCAGCCTCCAGGGACACGCCAGCAATCACTGTGGAGAAGCTGCTATAAGCATTATCCAGAATTTTCATTACCACATCAGCTGGGTGTCTGTTTCCTGCCTTGTCTCACTGACCCAACCCAGTTTCTGCCCTGGCACCTGGTGGGGCTGAGCCCACGGTGCCCTCCATCCTGGCCCCACACCCTCTCTTCCTCCTCCTGTATCTCTGGTAATCCAAGCCAGGGACCTGGATGTTACCTGGACTCTCGTCTCCCTCAGTCCCCGCTGGAACCCCTGCACTGGGCCAGGACTGCATCACCCTTCACCAACTTTGTCAGCCTCCATCCTCCACATGATGGCTGGAGGGACCTTCTCTGTCTAACCCGGCTGTGTGCCAGCCGCCTCCCACCCACTGGGGGCCTCTGGTCTCCTTGGCCAGGCCTGCTGGTCTGTGCAGCCCCACCCCCTCTGCCCCTCGTCTCACCCACCCTTCCTCCTGCCAGACTCAGCTTAGAAATCACCTCCTCAGAAAGCATCTGCTGCCTCCCCTTGCCATGTGGTAGGTACCTCCTCTGGGGGCTCCTGTCCCCCTTGCAAGTGGCCGGGTCTCTGCAGTTCTGTATCACAAATGCTATGGGACACACCCACCTCCCTGGCAGACCTGGAGCTTCTAGAAAGAAGGGGCTGCTTGAGGCTGCCATGGAGCCACAGACTGGCACCGGTGGGCACCCAGGAGATGGGACGAAGGCATGGAGGCCGACCCACGATGCCTCAGGCCAGAGCCCAGGCAGCTGTTTTCCCACCAGCCCCCTGGTGTGAGGACGGGGTTTCTGTGAGGTATGTCTGTGGCCAGTGTCTCCAGGATGAACCTAGGCTTGTGGCTGCGTCTGGTTCTGACACATGCATTTCACAAGGATTCTACTTTCTTTAGGGGAAATCACTTTGAAGTGACACTGGAAGGTTACAGTTTGGAACCACAGCCATGGGAAATGGCTCCTTCGCAGCCAGCTCTGCCTGGGACCTCAGTGAAATATGGGACCTGTGCTGTACCACTCTGCAGCCAGTGCTCAGTGCTCAGAGGGGCTGGTGGGTGTCTGCAGCCCTCTCACGCCTGCCATCTGGCTTGGGAGACTGCATTACGTCCTCACCGTTCTTTCTTTAAGATCCCAGTGGTTTCCTCCCTGCGAGAGGAATCTGGCCTCCAGAGTGGGAGTGACCGCCTACTCACTGTCCCATGCAGGCTGGGTGGGCTCGGCCACCCTCAGCAAATGTCAGCCCGCACTGTGTGGAGCTGGCTGGCTGCAGACGGGTAGAGAGAGATCTACAGGAGAGGACATGGAGCCACACGGACGTGTCTCTGCTGGACCCACTGGGGCCAAAGGAAGAGCCTACAGGTCCTGTCCCTGTGGGGCAATGGGGAATGGGATGAGGTCTCCCAAGGCTCCCCAGCTACCAGTAGTCCCTGCAGTTGGCACCAAGATCCTAGGGTAGGAGTCCAGGCAAGATCTTGAGGCCACCTGTCATGGAGAAGGCCCACTCCCGTCTCCCTCACTCTTTCCTCCTCATCTCTGGCCTGAGGTCACCACCCCATCCCAGCCAACACCATCTTCACCAGAGCTCCTGTACCACCCCGGTGCCGTCCTGCTGTCCTCAGTCTCAGCCACGGCCCCAAACCCACCTGCACCGAGCTCAGAAGGATCTTCCTAATCCTGCTCTGATCATCCCTCTCCCTTTGGTGGTCCCATTGTCGTAGGAGACAAAGTCCAGTCTCCCAATCTCTGTTGAGGGGCTCTTTGGGCTCCTGCCCCTACCAGCTCTTTCTTCACCTACCCCCACCTCAGCTCCACCTGCAGGAGGGGCCCCCAGCACCTTAGGAGTGCCCGCTGCCTGACTGCCGGGCCTTTGCACCTGCTGGGCTCTCTGTCTGAAACCCCTGTCCCCCTTGTCTGCTATCAGCTCCTCCTCGCCCTTCAGGGCTCAGCTGAGATGCTTTCTCTTTGGAGGAGGGGGTCTTTCTTGACCCCATTCAAGGCTGCCTGTGACCCCCAAAATCCTCTCCACACTATGCTGTCATCCTGGCAGGAGATAGAGCTGTTTACTATCTGGGACGCCCAACAACCACTACAGTGATCCTCTAAGATGTGAAAGACCCAAGCATCCCAGCCCTTCCTGCTGCCATCCCAGGCTAACCACAGCTACCCCAGGTGCCCCTGTCCGGAACCCCTCACCTGCTGACCCTCGTGCAATGCCCTGGACAGGAGGAGCCCTCCCAGGGGCTGCCCACCCACCCGGCTCCCGTGTGCAGCCCCTGCATCTACACACAGAAGCTGCTGACACAGCAGACACAAAAGGGATTTCCATCGATAGAGCTGTTTTCTAATGCTCTGTGGTTAATTATTTTGTCTCAGGGAAATGAAAGTAGGGTAAACAAACAACAACACAGTAATTAGTCTGATCTACACTTCCCCCTGAAAGAGGAGAGCTGGAGTTAAACATTAGAGCTGGCAACTTCTCAGAGAATCCGTGAGTCCTCAGAGAGGCAGCCAGGGCAGGACGTGGCTCTGCCAGGGCTGGTGCACGCAGGGGCTCAGCCGCACCCCTTCTCTGTCTCCTCCTGCCTGCGCTCCTCCAGCGGGGTTGGGCCGTTGCGGGTGAGCCCAGCCCAGCCCAGCCTCCGTCTCTGGGTGAGGGACTCCATCCTCTCCTCCACGCCCCGGGTCTCTGCTTCCATGTCCTTAGGCTGGCACCTTTGCCAAGTGAAGTCCACTGTGGCACCTCTGGTGGGGTTGGCAGGTCCCTCAAAGGCCATGTGTGCTGAGCTGTCACAGCTCAACCTCATAGGCTGGACTGTTCTTCCAGGGTTCTTTATTTTAGAGCCAATTACTATCCCCAGGTTTGTCCTCTTTGCAAATCCTGGTGTGTGGCTTCCAGCGTTGCCGCCCCCGCCCCCAACACCATGGTCTCCAGAGCTGAGTTGCAGTCCCAGATGCCCTGAGGTCCTCATGCATCCTGGCAGGCCTCATGCTCACTCCTGAGCCCTGGGGTCAGGTCAGTGTACGGGGCTACGTGGGGCCCCAAGGCAGTGTCCCTGGAAGTCCACCTCCATCCTAGAATGGAGGCTAGGCTCACCCCCTCACCCTCGGCTTCACTGTTCAGCACTCAGCTGGGGCTCAGGAGCCGGGCTGACCTGAACGACGTCCTGGCTCTGGGCATGACATGTGCATAGCAATAACTACTTCCCAGGGCTAGCAGGAGGACTACTAGGGACCAGGCTGGTGACCCGGCCAGCCCTGCTTCCTTCCGTGCACACTCTCCCCTCCTTGTAGGACCTCCAACCACTCCCCCGCTGAGATTGGCCTACGTGCCTGGTTTGCTCTCCCCAGCCTGTGGTTGTGTGCACTGCTCTGGGGGTCAGCCTGAGCCCACCCACGGAACTTCCAGAATTCTTGATAGACCTAAAGTGCCTTCAGGATCCTCAGAGACGCCATCCACATGTAGGTCAGAGCTGCCAGCCTTCACTAACTTGTGTATCTCCCCTGCATTGACTGGACTGGGCCTGACTGTAACAAGGAGACAGGGCTGTGGAGCCAGGACAGACAGAGGGAGCAGAGAGCTCCATGGTTCAAAGGTTGAGCCAAGTAGGAGGGGAACTTTCCCAGGGAGATTTGGGAGCCCAGACAAACCTAAGTCCATTTGGGAGAAGAGGAGGCAGACAAGTCCTGGGCAGAACCCAGGTCACAGCCACAGCCACTCCTGGGTAGGTCAGGAGCATTGACAACAGGCAGCTCCACACTGTGGCTCCTCCTACTGATTACTGACAATCTGCAGTTAACCTGTCAACATCGGGACACCTGATTGCTAACATGTGACCTGTAGGTGCCACAGCATGGGAAGAGGGGGACTGTGGTGCTCAGAGGGTCCCAGACACTGGCATGAGGACTCAGGGGCTGGCTGATCTGCCATCACCAGGGAAGGGCACCCTCAGGAACAGAGCCTGGCCAGGATGGTCCTGTCTGGGCAAGCTGTGGTGCAGGACCTCTGCTCCTGGATGCTAAACACCACTGGCA